TCTAATGTCTTCATAGACAAGTTGGGGGATAATTTCAAAATGTCACCCCAGCAGCCAACAGTAATTATGCATTATTTGGATGACTACTTCGCAATTTAGTTGCATGTAAGAGAATAATTAGACGATTTCATGATATTCATAAATGAAATTGATGAAATGGTCAAATTTATCATGGATGTGGAAAAGAACGGACAATTACTTTTCTTGGATGTGGAGGTCATTCGCTCCGATAGAAAAATCACATGGTGAAACAACTCTTAACTTCTAGTCGAACCATAATTATGCGATGAAGATGGGAATACTCTTGTATATGATCATAAGAACCCTACGACTCACTGATTCTGAGTTCTGGGAAGAGGAACTGAGAAACTAACTCAAATGTGTCTTGGAAACGGATATCCAGAAGAAGCACTGCAACGCAATATACGAATGGTGATGAACAGTTGGAAGGACGTAGACTATGAAAGCGAGAGGAGCAGAGGAAAACAATGGATATGCCTACCCTTTCGCGAATTGGTTTGGAAGCTACGGCCAATACTATGAAAATAAAACATTCGTACAATCCTAGAGGAAAGGAAAACTCTCTTCATCAGCTTGTCCACAACATGAAGAAGTCAACAAAATGGAGTCCTCCGGGCTGTGAATAAAAATACATTGGAGAGACAGGAAAGACAATCAGCACAAGGATCATAGAACACCAGCATCGCCCCTACCGACCACACAAGTGACTGGAATGTAATGAAAAGACTGGCATCAAATAGGAAAAACACCAGGAAAAGGAAGACCAGGAAGGCTGTGGACACCCTTTTTCAAAGAAATACCTGATCAACAGTAGATTAGAAGAGAGAAGTATCAGCGATAGCTTCGCGTACTGTCTGAACAGACTTGAGGATTCAATGATGCATAAAAAATAAGATGATTGGACCCAGGACAACTTTTCAGTAATAGCAAGAGACATCAAGGGGCGGCTCATGAGGAACAAATGGAAGCCAAAATAGGGGTCAAACGTACAATTAGCTAAAAACTTACCCAAAGGGTCCACTTTTGATATGTAAGGTATAAAAGTAAAGGCTAAAAGGATTAGATGGGAATGTCAATTTGAGAGAAGTGTATTTTTCGCGATTCAAAGGAGAAAAAGGGAAGCGGTGCATTCTCACACCAGCGGTCGGACACAGGGCTCCAGAGAATGAGGCACAATTTGGCAGGAGATGAGGGCGAGGATAATTGAGTAATGGGTTTGAAGCCTAGAGACTCAGGCACTGGTATGAGCTTGGACATCATCTGCTGTAAATCCTCGAATATGGTGTAATCGAGGACGAGAATGGAAGGCTCTTAGGCAGCCAGATTTCAGAAAGCTCAACAGTGATCTTTATATTTAGCAGCGGCTAATTTACAAGCGGGTAGGATAAAAAGGGGGGAGGGGCAGAATGTAAGTCAGGAGCCCTGCAAACTAAACTGACGCGTCATATGAAGTGGGGTTGAGAGAAAGAGATGCGACATTAAAAAAGGGGGGCGAGGAATGATGTCACAACAGTTGAACATAAAATTGATAAAAGAGATTGCCTTCATTTGCCACTTTGATAAATTGTAATTCTGTGCTTACGATGACGCTTCTAACTGACGATGCCGGCAACACGTTTGGAGATGCACCCAGCCAATGGTTCAGTGCTGTAAATCACGAATTCTATGGCAGATGATATGTTCTTTAAATTCTATGACGCTCCGACCAAGTTGCAAAAACAAGGTCGAACCAACACTTAGGAGATAATGTTTGAAGTTATTTTTTTTTACTAATTGATTTCTATTCATACTTTATGGAAATCAGTTTGGTTCCAAAATACTATTCTTTTCCATTTTATCCCCATTTATGCACTAAGATATTTTTATATTCCCTTGGCGATTGAATTCACACATAGTTGATCTATAATTAAATTTATTTGCTTCGATATTACAAATTTTCCTTTTTTTACTCAACTCAACTTACTTCGATTTTTTAACAATTTTAGCTTCGGGGGTTCTCGTGCAGGCCTCTTCTGTCTTATAAATACATTGATGCATCAGCTCGCGAGCGAGAAGGCTATTGATATGTATTTCTTTTTCAAAATGTACAATCTTTATCGTCCAAAAATTTTTCAGTCTCATGTGAGTTACCACACGATATTGGTCTATAATTTTGATTAACTTCATATAATCCTTGCTTGGAAAATCTAAATGATTTCAATTTTTATGCTCATCTTCCAGCAACCCCAAGATATTTGTATCATAAATAATATGGTTTACTTGGAGCATATTATTTTCATTAATTATCTATGGTAAGAATGTATTTGTAAGAACTTCTTTACTAAAACAGGTCTTAACATATTTTTCATTTATTTTGGGGCGAATGGTTTACTCATCACGAGGTCTTCGTCTTATTACCTATCGTAAAGTACTTCTACTTTATCACTAAGTTAGCTAGTTTTGTTCGAGCATGTTTCACGAATCTCTTTCTCGATATTTCTTTATAATTCATCTTTTTAAAATATCCATATCGGTAGAGGATCGGGGTATGTATTTGTAAAAGGACACTTAATTTTATTATTTTTTATCAAGTCCACGTACTTTATAATTTTTTTAAACTTTTTAATGATCCATTCCGTTATTCATGGCCTTATTGCGATATTCTGTTTTATTTATATATAGAGGGATTTGGCATTCGCCTATGAGCTTATAGGCTTTTTCTTGATCGCGGTCCAGTCTGGTGAGATGCATATTTTTGGCCAGTCAACTGAAGCCCCTACTTTCAACTCAATCACTTCTGTAGGCAGCATATCTGCAGGGGGCATTTCTAGTGCAACTAGCACTGCTGGTGTAAAGGGTGCAGGAGTTGGCAACTATTCCAGAGGCCATCAGAATGCACTTAGTCACCACTACCATAATCACAGAAACCATCATTATCAACATTCTCTCTCACAAACTGGCAATCGGACCCAACAGCATTTGCGCATACCCTTTGTACACAATTATCTTTCCGGTCAGCCTCGTCTTGGAACTGGGAGTAAACCAAATTCTGATGTCCCAATCAGCCTTGGTATTCAATCTCACGTTCCTTTGTCTATAGGTCTCAACTGCAATACGGATTTTAAAAGCAATCTTTCTACTTGGCCTCAAGCTGAAAGTCCTAGTAGCCTGCCTACTGGCTCCTTGAATCACCCCGCAACCTCATCAGAACACTTAGTTTCTATTTCTCCTGTCATCGGTCACTCTATCGCTTCATCCATTCATCTCGCCGCAGACGGATCCATTCCTATTGCTCACGAAGATCTTGATAAAGATGAGGAACGCGTGCCATCAATTTCATCCATCGCCGAGACTGCTGAGGCAGCATCCAGATTGCCTACTTCGACCAACGATCTGCCATTATATTCCAGTGATCCATCGACACCAAATGAGGTTCCGCCTGTTGCTCATTATCCTGTCTTCCATTGTCCATCTCGGATTACTCCTCGAGTTACTCCTAGTTCTGGTTTACATGCCGACTGTCGGGACCTTGATCGATTGATAGCCAACCTCGAATCAACTGTACATTGTAATTTATCACAACAGTTAGATGTCTCGCCAGCAAGAAGCTCTGAATGTAATTTACTCGAATCTCAAGACATCGACCAGTATAGCCGAAATATCGAAATCGATGCTATTAGCGAGTTTGACGGTGTAAATATTCCCTCTGCAATTTCTCGTACTGATGTAATAAATGCATACATAATGCCCCATCATACTCCGATCGAGTCGGGGGATAACCAGAGCTTATATGATCTCCCACTTGAATCAGCTCTTTCTGACCCTTCTTTTAAGAGTCATTTAGTTGCTGTTTCTTGTCCTTATTCAGGAAAGCCTCCCGAGCTTACTCAACCTTCTCTTGAAACTAGCATTGGTTCTTCTAACGATACTCGCTCTGTATATATACATACAACATCAACAACAAAGACCCATCATCCATCAGAACAGTTAGTATTTAAGCATTCCTCCGATAGACCGCCAATCCTCAGTCTTTCCCCTATCTCTGTTCATCGTCGCATTTCCTCTCTCGGCCCGAATTCATCTGTCGGTCGATCAATTTCTCCTGAATCGACGTGTAATCCTTATTCAGCTATTCCTCATAAATCGATTCCTGTGAAATGCATGCCAGCCAGTTTGCTTGGTGAAGAATTCGAACCCACTGTAGCACATTTTTTTGCCCCTACTCAATCTTCTTTGGCATTTTCTTCGTCTTCACCGGCTCCTCCCAAGGTATCTTCTGCATCCTCCACATCCTCTTTCAACCCTCATTCGTCCGAAAAGTTTATAGATCCATTAGATAAGTCAGCTACAATAGCGCGTACATCTAGTCCTTCGAGCTTTTGTGTGACAAGGCGAGCTCATCTCGCTTCTCTTGATCTAATCGATTTGACCGAGCGTTTATCCTTTACTTCTGGCACCAAGAAAGGCCTCCACCCTGAATCATCATTCCTTGGGCAGAGTATTCGCTCCACTGTCTCACCTTGCTCTACATCGAATTCGCGAGTTGATCCCGATGATCTTCGTCCGATCTCTGGTTCGATTCCGATAAGCCCTCGATCTGATCGACTTGTGTCGCTGGCCTCCTGGGAAGTGTCATCGAATCACAATAGCCTCCAATCCTCAGCCCCTATTCGTACTCATTCGCCCTCTATTCCTCAAGGAAACAATATTACTGCCGCCAATTCAACAACACCGACTACTATCACTTCGTCGGCAACAATCGTTTTGGTGACACAAGGGCAGACTGGACATCACTCGGAGGCCTTGTGCTCATCATCGTCTGGAATTTGCACTTCCACTTATCGGACACATCTTTCCTGTCCACATACTGTCTTGAGCGGTTCTCTTCTGCATGGTCATAGTTTACATAAAAAAGAGGATGAATTTGATTCAACTGGGTTAATAGCCTAGTGTAAACCCATTTATCTTTTTCAGCATCGTCTTAACTTTGCCAGGCATCTTCTATTTATCAGTTTGTGCACTTATTTTCTTTCTCCATTTACTGCTACTTACACCTTAAAGCTTTCTTCATGTCTTCTGCCCTATCTTCCTCTTGCTAACGTACGTCACTAGTGTAATTATAAACGCTTACATATTAGCTGACTTGTAAGTGCACATTCTCGCACCGATATTTTGAGTTACCTTGTCTTTAGGCGATGTTTGGATTTCCTTTTACCTGATCCAATTCTTTAGCTAACGCAAATTTTAACTTCTCGAAACAATATTTTCTAGATATAGAAAGCCTTTGAAATTTCGATTTCCGATACCTTTATCTATTATTTTTGTGATCTCTTTATCAAAGTTCAAGGATAACCTTTTTTTTTTTATCTTGCTTTCCTTTTCTCTTTTCATTCTCTTTATCCATTACTTTCATGCGAACAAAAAGCGAACATATATATCTACCTTTATAAAAGTATACAAATATATATTGCCTCCAATGTTCTATATACATGTATGCATATTCCGAATTATAATTTTTCTCATTTTTGTTCCTTGGGATCGTTGTTTCATCTGTGTTAAGATTATTTTTTACTATCTTCTATTTAATGAATGCCAGTTCCTTTTTTAGTTTTTTCTCCATTTTATAGCTTCTTTTATTGTTTTGGCGCCATATATTTTATTTTACTATGCATGTATATATTCAAAATGTCGCAATTGATTTTTTAAAACTATATTTCCGCCTAGTTAAAAAATGAATGCTTTGAATAGGGTTTATTAATCATTTTTAGCTGTACCGCATTATTTACAAAACCTCATGCGAACCTTCATCATAACTAATATTTACTGTAAAGAGCTGACTTCAAATTCACAATCCTTAAACCAATTTGTTGGATCTAAATATTTGTCGATTTTCGAACATGCATTTATTCTCAAAGTGGTTTCTGATACTCAGATATCCATTTATATACATTTGTGTATAATTCTATAAGCATTCATTTAGATTTTCAATTTTATATTATTCTCAATACCATCATAACTAATTATGTCAAAGTCTGTGACTTGAATTTTTAGTTTTATTTCTAAATAAAAGCAACTTTTCTTGAATCTGTTTACTCGAATAAATCACTAATTTCATTCCTATCCAATAAACAATGCAAACTGCTGCTGATGTTTTTTGAATACGATTTTTAACTTCAATTCTTTAATTTGACAATCTCTTTTTGATATGCATATTAAATGTATTACTCACCTGGTAATACTTATAACCTATTTTCCATCCTATATCTTTTTTGAGCATTTAATATTTTCTCCCCCGCAAAATCTTTTGCAATTTAATCTTTCTAGTGTTGTATTCTTATCTGCAATCGTTGCACAAGAATGCATGCTTCTTCATTCTGATCCCACTTGAACCTGTCTTTATACTATCAAAAAGACTTCTTGGAATAAAACTTTCTTTCTGGTATTTTATTTTGGTTTATAAGGTATCAATATGTTTTAAACCTAGTAAATCTTGAATTTGAATCAAGATTCTACGCTTGCTACCATATCCCTGTCCATAATCTGTCCATTTATTTTGAACTTTTAGCCAACTTTCTCCAGGATGCGCTCGCTTACCCACTCTGGGTCTCCATCTCCCATCCCCTCGTACGATGATAGGATTGCTAGTGGCGGTGGAGCTGGAGGTGGCTATTCTAGTAATCGTCCTTCTTTGAGCGGACTTCCAGTGAACCTCGGCCTGCCTGGCTCCGGTGTGCGTGTAGGCCAGGTTCCCTCTGGGGTAGGTGTTGGAGGAGCTGGGGTGGGGTCTGCTCGTCTATCTTCTTCATCTGTTGGATCAGCATCGCATATATCGAGCCAAGGCGTTGTTGGTGCGGCCAAATCTATGCCAAGTGGTCCTCGCCGCAATGCTGCCTGTGGCTCCGCCGGTAGCATCGGTGGTGGACTTTTGGCTTCTGGGGCTAGTAGACGTCTGCTTACTGATTCGTCTATCTTTCATCTAATACTTACGCTCCGCGAAGCTGGACGTCGACTTGCTCTTTCTGACCCAACTATTGCTACTGCAGCTACCTTATTTCACAGGTCACTCCGCGTTCTCACTACTGGCGAAGATCCTATCCCATCGGCTACTGTCGCTACAACGCTTGAGAGTATTGCAACAAACGGCGAACAGAATTGCTCGGATGAGAGTGGTATACCATGTGCCATTTCCTTAGATGTTGGAGCTAAACCCGTTGAAGGACCTGTTTCGATGGCTGCTATTGACCAGGCACTACGAAATAGTTTGGGTGATATTGATCCCCATGTAAGTCATCTTGTCTCGTCAATGTGTATTCAGATTTTATTTCGTTTGCATGATTCATTGTGAAATTGGAGACTATTCTTGTTTTATTTATCCCTTATTATCAACTTTGTATTTTTATTTATTCCCTATAAACAGCTTTAAAGCTACGTATCTTAATATATGATAGCAGAATTTAGGCTCTGTGCTCTTCAAGGTTTCTTTATCAGGCACGTTAAACGTCGTGTACACATTATTTTTAAATTTTGAAATGGTTCCTTCGAGAAGTTTTCTCAGCTATTGACGAATTTTGAGAGATTTATAAACAAGATTGCATACTTTATCGAAGTAAGTGACCTATTCACCCTACTGTAGCCACGATAACCCTTGGGCGTTTACAGATGCGCTAATCTTTGATTAGTTAGTTTTGGGAATGTGCCAGGTCACTGTTCCGATAAAGAGTCACTATGAT